TGCTGAAAGACATCTTCGGGTAAAAATTCCACTTGGCATGTTACTATGGGAGCGCCAAGAGGCATGCTTTGGATTCCATTATTATTGCTTTGTTGTTTAAAAGTCTTTGAATAAAGAAGTAGCAGCCACAGTCTTTGCTTCTTCAAATACTTTGAATAATTTCTTGTGTTTTGCCAGAAGATGGTAAATTTCAAATGATGCTTCAGTGCAGGCCTTACCTTTGTCTGAAAAAGCTGAAGAAGTGTAATACTGGACTTGAAATGTTAACTGTTTCTATCTCCACAGATGTTGCAGACCTGCTGGGTTTCTGCTGCATTCTCTGTGATTGATTATCTCAGAAATCCAGCATTGGCAGTATTTTGCTTTTACTTATTCTTTTCTGCTGGTTTAGAGAAAACTGTTGAACTTTCAAACAGCCTTCAGCTCATAATTTTCTTTGTCCAAAATACTCTGTTCAAGGGAAAACTTTCCTTGAATTTAGAATTTACCATGCATTGTTGTTTTGTTCCAAATTCCCCTTTTATCAAAATACTTTGGTGACTTATAAAGCAAATAAGACCATTGGATACAGGAACAGAATTCAGGCCACTCAGCCCATCAAGTCTACTCCAAACATGGATGATATGGTTCTCAAATCCATTCTCCTGCCTTCTCCCTGTAACCCTCGATTCCCTTACTAATCAAGAAACAATCTATCTCTGTCATAAATGCACTCAATGACATGGCATCCACTGCCCTCTGTGACAACATGTTCCACAGATTCACTATCCTCTGGCTGAAGAAATTCCTTCTCATCTCAGTTCTAAAGGGTTGTCCCCTCACCTTGAGACTGTGCCCTCGGGTCCTAGTTCCTCCTACTTGTGGAAACATCTTCTCCATGTCCACTCTATCCAGGCCTCTCAGTATTCTGTAAGTTTCAATCGGATCCCTCCTCATCCTTTTAAACTCAATTGAGTGCAGACCCAGAGTGATCAACCGCTGCTCAGATGAGAAGACCTTTTTTGGGATTATTCTTGTAACCTTCTCTGAACCCCCTCCAATGTCAGCACATCATTCCCTAAATGTGGAGCCCAAAACTGCTTACATCTGATACATCACTGAATCCAAAATTGCCCATTCTCTTATGGGTTCTACCACAAACTGCTCCAAAAATACTATCTTGTAGACATTCCACAAATTCCTTTGAGATCTGTTACCAACCTTATTTTTCCAGTTGCAGTCCTCCTTCATATTGAAGTCTCCCATTATTGTAATGATGTCTTGCTAAATGCCTTTCCATCTCCCGATTTATTTTCTTCCCCACGTCCAGATGAGTGCGAGGAGGCTTGTACACAAGTCCCATCATGGTCTTTTTCCTTTGGTGTTTTACAGTTGCGAACAGAAATTAATTTTTCCACTCCATGCAAAAATTGTACATTTTTGATTTGTTTTTAAGATGGTGCATGTTCGTCACTCATCATGCTTGATTCACTTTGTAGTTTGTGACATCATGCTACCACTTGTCACGCTGCAGGTAGGTAGGCCTCTGGATATGCATCCCTGGAATGTTGCTGCCTGCTTTCCAGTGAGGTGGCATGGGAGGTCACTCCTGCGATAGTGATGTGCTTCGGGGGCCCTTTACATGCTCAGATATTGAATGTGGGAGCTTTTCTCGATATTTTTCTGTGTCCTGCATAAAAGCAGAACTAGCTGAGCTGTTCTTTCAGAGAATTTGCCTGAACCTTTGGGCTGAATAGCCTCCTATAATACACTGACCTCAAACATCAGTTCCTAGTATGTTTCCTATACATTTGTTGGCACTTACATCGTAAAACTTAGTTTACCCTGCAATGATTGGCCATCTGGACCAAGCTGAAACATGATGCAGCAAGCTAGCAAAGCCTTGAGAGCATGCACTCCTCTCTGGATGTATCGTTTCCAAAAATGTTTGTCATGAGGTAGCACCATAACTGACATGCGCACAGCAAAGGAATGCAGAAAGATGTGCATGGTGATGGAAGCAGGTGGTTGGTAAGATGGACCACCACAGGCTTTGTGATCAATCAATTGATCGCACCCTACCTATTAGGAGATTTTGATAATGTTAATGTTACTGATCAAGGGTTCAATCAATCAGCTGAAGTAGTACAAACCATGGCTCCTTTCGCTTTTTATGGCTCAGCACCAAGCCAGATGCAGATCCACTCATACTTTCCTTTCCAATCCCATTGCTTCCAGCTTCTGTTCCAGCAACATCAATTGTGAAAAGTGATTTAGACAGTCACAGCTGCCTTTATAGCGACTGTAGTGATGGGGCTAGATCTCAGAAGGCAGTCAAGTAAAAGTTTTGATCAAAAACCTATTTTTCTTTGTTATGACCAAACCCTCTGAAAATACAATAAGAAGATAGCCTAAACCCTAACTTTTTCTTGAATTAGAAGGTAAGTGTAAGGTGTTGCGTCCCAAATGCAATTCGGTTGGTCAACCCATTCGACTTTAAGCACAACACACTATTTTTACACTACAGTTAAAATACAGACAAAATAAAAATAAAATTGGCTTAACTGCAACTCTATCAAAGTGCTCAAAAGAATATATATATTAACTATTACTAATTAACTGTTCTGTTATAGTAACATCCCATAAACACACCCTTGGCAAAGGCAATAGATTGTCTCACATTTCCTGTAATTCCAGCTGCAGGAAGAAAAAGCCAGCTTTTAACTGTAACAGGGAGAGGAATAAAAGCTTCCACATTCAGCTTCAAAACTCCAGTAACTGCAGAAAGCTAAATTAAATGTCCTGGTTGACCCCACCCATTCAGGCTACTTCTTTCATTCCAACTTTTTAAAAAAGCCAAAGCCTCACAAGCTGCTTACTTTATTTGCTTTGTCACCTCTGTCTCAACCTTTCTTTATAAAGAACCAGGACAAAAAACGCCTCTTAAAATCATAGTATTGTCACATTTTTTGACTGTTCTTAAAATCTCCTGAAACTTATATATTCCCTTGCACTGAACTAAAATAGAATTGAGATTGCCTCTAGTCATGGTTGCAATCCAGTGTGTTGCTTTCTGATTTGTTCTACACTCAAGTGTGCGTTAGATATTCATTAATGAAGTCACTTATCTTGAGAGGCTGTTGAACAGAAAGTGACTTTCAATGACTCCAAACTCTGGTTCTGAGTCCCAGGACTCAATAATTGCATAAAGGGAGCTATGTCAGGAAATAATTAGGATCAAAGTAATTAGTTATAATTTTAGAAATCATTTAATCTTTGCTCTTATAGTAAGATCTATTTTTGCAGTCACTGAGTTTTAATTTACTTAAATCTATTAAATATATATAATTAGGTCATGAAGCACATGTCCTGTATGGAAATCCTGCTTTACTGTGACTCAACCCAGTTTGTTCATTATTCTGACTTTTGCTCTGAGCCATTTTTTTTTTTAAAGTCGCTCACTTTCGAGAGTACACAGACCTTCACACAGTGCTCATACCATCTTTTTTATTTGGACATGGATTAACCAGTTTTTTAATCTGAGGCAACACGATAGTAGGTGCTTCTGAGGTTGGAGCTGGGGCTCTTGTCAGGCAGAGCAGAAGGTGTTTTATTCTGCAAAACAAATCTTGTACAGATTCTTGATAGGAGAAAATGTTGCATTCCCTTACCTGATTTATTTGTGCAGCAGGAAGAAGAAACTAGTAAAGTCATAAGTTAACAAGTTTTGAAACCAACTTTGTCAACAGCAGAAGCTGAGAATCACAAAGTTTCATATGGAGAGAAATTAACATTGTGTCACACATTAACCACTTTAGGGTAGCAAACTGATGAACCTTTATCACTGCATGCTCAACAAATGAATAGATGTAGCATTTCTGCCTGAGATAAACAGTTCACTTAAGATTCTACAATACATTTTAAGATATTAACACAAATGGACAATGGCTTTTGCCTTTTGGCTGACCAGGTAGTTTAAACATGAAGTATTTGTAAAGTGGTGGGGACTGGCTAACAATACCATCGTACAAGGACTGCACCAATTCGGGGGGAAAAAAGGATTGCATAAACCACTAATAATCTGCCTTAACTGCTGTCTCACTAACAGCAGACATATCCACTTGCATGAAAATTCAGATGGCTAACCTGAAGGGTGAACAATGGAAGGTTGCAGTCACTGAGGACACACGTGGCTTTGATTAGGGTAACTTCAGTGTGATGGCAGGAGCAAAAAACCCAACTGCAGAATTTAAACAGCATTGCAGGAAAGATGGACATGGGTTTCAGACAGCAAGATGGAGCAGTAGTTTTCACGCAGTGTGGGTGTCTGAGGAGGGAGTGATGGCAACAGTTTTGAAAGAGATGTGGACGTACCATAGAAGGGAGAACCTTTCAGAGTATCAACTAGAATGAGACAGCAATGGAATTTGGCCAGTAATTTGGTAGAAAGAAGTTCTCATCGAGAAAGAGAAATGCAGGTTCAAGACAGGCTTTAGGGGTGGGGAAGGGCTGGAGACTTTGAAATGTTTTGGCTTGACAGGAAAGACAGCCGTGACAACTAAATGAATGAATGATTTCAGTTCCAATAACCCAAGGTATGTGAACTCCTTGTACTTATGGGAGAGAGGAGAATAAGCAGTTGAAGGATTTGATTGGTCGTGGAGAAAGAGGCCCCAAGTTATTTCATCCATTGTTCGAACAACTGTTGCATTATTTCTTAGATCACTGGGCCTGGTACTACGTATATGGTCTACAGTTGTGCAGCAGTTAAGTTTAAGTCTGTTGCTATGTTGATGAGATATTGCAACGTATCATAGTCATGAATACAGGTGAGAGAATATAGACACTGGAGTCTGATAAGTGGATAATTTCTGAAATCACAACAGATAGGATCACATCACACAACACAAACATTTTGCTGCTCCATGCCAGATCATCGCATAGAAACGGTACCATCTGCAGGTAAGCCATTATGTTTAAGTGCAAATTAAAAGAAATATTAAACTGACACATTAATGAAGTAGTTTGTGAGGTTGTGATTCTTTAATATGAATGAAGGCAGTCGTGGTGAGCAGATTTTTTTCCCCCCCAAAAAATAAAAACAGCCAAACACAGATAAGTTGCCAGAATTTGCATTAATTAACGGTGTGCTATCTGAGTCTGTGGTGTTTTATCAGACTGGGTTCTGATTAGGAAAGATGTGCAGATTTTTTCTTTAATTGAGGAGGATCAGTAGTCTCAACAGAAAATATTAGATATTCAGTACATCCCATTGATCAACCTTACAAGGCTGGTTTTAATTCATTTTGGAACTTGCATATTTCTAGGAATATTACATACATCATCATGGTATCTTTCCCATGGTAAAAAGTTTGAAAGGGGAGGAAGAGGCAAGAAACAGCCCTCAATTTAGAGCTTTGCTGATGCCGATACATTATTAATGTTCCTTAGCAAAATACTTAGGGCTCAGAAGCTCGGTTGAGGGGTCTACTTCCACTTGTCAGCACTTACTCAGTTACCCCCAGTCAGGTGAAGGTTTTCAATTAGAAACCCCACCGGAACCTCTGCACGTTTGGATATCACCAGCACTCTGCATGTGCTCCATTTTTGTTGATAGAGTGAGCTACTGCTAATGACAATCAGGAATACCTCCTCTGCCACCTCCATTCACTCCAGTCTTGTTAACATAAGAAGAAATACAGAGTATCACATAACATTGTTTCACTATGGATTGACTTAAAAACAAGATTGTGGAGTCAATGGGTTGGGATGCACTGACTGTCAAGAACACTGCAGGTTTGAGACTTGGATGTCCTTTTAACTGCCCACTTGATTGTAGCACCAATAATTCAATAAAGTTTCAAATGTCCTGTAACTTTGTCCACTAATTTTCCTAAGCCTGGTCCAATGCCAAGAACGGTGCGTGACCCTGGTGCTATCTGTGTACGACCAGCATCCTGGATCAAACTCACAGTCAGCCCAAGTTCCTTTGCATGTGTCAACAGGTCAATAATGCAGTCCTCATCTGGCGCTTTGACAACCACTTTGGGCTGCCCGCAATACTCCCACTGCCTGAGCAGATCTGGATTCCGTTTTTGGATTTGCCTGTATGCAGAGACAGCTGCATGTGAACACTGAGCCGCTACTTTACCCTTCCCCATCTTCAGGTCATTACGGACTACCAAAACCATCTTGTACTCCCCACCCTCCCCCATGGTGCTCGTCTCCATCCCTGCGTTTTGCACATGTGGCAGAGTTTTTAGGGATCTGACAAATCGTCCTCGTACCATCCAACCCAGGCACAATCCACATCCAACTCCGGTCAAAATCCCCAAAGCCAATGGCGCAGTTAAAGACTCCATCTTATGCCTCTCTACAAACACCTATGGAAATAAAGACAAAAGAATATTATCCAGTTTAGCTTTTACTGAATACAGTTATTACATTATTCCAGAGGTGAATTTCCAGCAGCATTTTACTTAAAAATACACACAATTGTGCTGTTATGCAACCAATGCCCCACACATTCAATTTGACCCCTTAACTCGCCAACAAAATGTCTCTTCTAAAAGGCTGTGCAGTCAAACTGAATATATATCGTTGATCTCTCTCTAGATTTATCTGCACTGATAATCAGCCAAGAAAGCAAGTTGAAAAATGAAGTCAATTACTATTGCAAAACAACGGCTATCCTTCTTGTATTCTGTATCTTCACCTCCATCTTGCCATGTGTTATGGAGTGTAGGAAAAGGAGGATTTGGCAGAGCTGGTGGAGGAGACAGGGATTCAGAATCTTGGATCATTGGGATCTCTTCTGGGGCAGAGGTGACATGTACAAGATGGGCAGGTTGCACCTGAACCGGAGGGGGACCAATATTCTGGCAGGGAGATTTGCTAGAGCCACTCAGGAGGATTTAAACTAGTCTGGCAGTAGTGAGACAAAATAGAAGGTTGAAGACAGAGGTTAATGACATCAAGTTAAATAGTAAAGGCAGTGTTGGTAATCCCAGTACTAGACAGGGCAGGCAGGAAGCAAGGAAAGTCTGGGTTAAACTGCATTTATTTTAATGCAAGAGGCCTGACAGGTAAGGCAAATGAAATTGGGGCATGGATGAGTACATGGGACTAGGATATTGTAGCAATTACAGAAACATGGCTGAGGGAAAGTCAGGACTGGTTGCTTAATGTTCCATGGTACAGTTGCTACAGGAAGGATAGCAGAGGAGGCAAGAAAGGAGGTGGAGTTGTGTATTTGATTAGGGAAAACATCATGGTGGTACTGAGAGAAGATATTTTCGAAGGTTTGTTCGCTGAGTCTATATGGGGTAGAGCTCAGAACTAAATAGGGGGAGATCACTGTACTATAGGTCTCATTGTACTATAGGTCTCCCAATAATCAGTGGGAGACTGAGGAGCAAATATGTAAGGAGATCGCAGATAGCTGTAAGAATAATAGGGTTGTAATAGTAGGGGATTTTAACTTTCCTAACATCGGCCGAGACTGCCATAGTGTTAAGGCTTGGATACAGAAATTCGTTAAACGTATTCAAAAGAATTTCTCATGCAGAATGTAATGGCCCAAATAGAAAAGGGGCAAAACATGACATCCTCTTGGGAAATAAGGCAGGGCAAGTGATGGAACTGTTAGTCGGGGAGCAGTATGGGATCAGTGACCATAATTCCATTAGTTTTAAAATAGCTATGGAAAAGGATAGCTTTGATCCACAAGTTAAAGTTCTAATTTGGGGCAGGATCAATTTTGGTGGTCTTAGGCATGAACTTTCAAAAGTTGATTGGGGGAGGCTCTTTGCAGGTAAAGGGATGTCTGGTAAGTGGGAGGCTTTCAAAAGTGGGCTAATGAGGGTTCAGGATCAGCATGTTCCTGTTAGAGAGAAGGGTAAGGCTAGCAGGAGTAGGGAACCCTGGATGACTAGAACTAATGAGGCCCTAGTCAAGAAAACAAAGGAGGCATGACATGTATAGGCAGCTGGGATCAAGTGAATTTTTTGACAAGTATACAGGGTGTTGGAGTACACTTCAGAGATAAAGCAGGAGGGCTAAAAAGGGACATTAGATGGCTTTGGTAGATAAGGTAAGGGGATGTCCAAAGACATTCTACAAGTATATGATTGGCAAAAGAGTAACTAGGGAGAGAATAGGATATATGAAAGATCAACAACATCATCAACATGTGGAGCCACAAGAGATAGGTGAGATCCTAAATGAACATTTCTTGCCAGTATTTACCTTCGAGAAAGGTATGGATGTTAGGAAACTTGGGGAAAATAAACAGTTATGGCTTGAGAAGAATCCACATTACAGAAGAGGTGGTGCTGGAAGTGTGAAAATGCATTAAGAGTAGATAAATCCCTGGGACCTGAAGAAGTGTATCCCAGGATTTTGTGGGAAGCTAGGGAGGAAATTGTGAGGCCCCCCTAGCAGAGATATATGTATCATCAACAGTCACAGGTGAAGTGCCTGAAGATTGGAGGATGGCTAATGTTGTGCCATTATTTAAGGAAGGCTGTTGGGAAATGCCAGGGAACTACAGACCAGTGAGCTTAATGTCTGTGGTGTGTAAGTTGTTAGAAGGGCTTCTGGGAAACAGGATGTGCATGCATTTGGAGAGGCAAGGACTCATTTGGGATAGTCAGCATGGCTTTGTGCGTGGGGAATTGTGTCTCACGAATTTGATTGAGATTTTTGAAGGGGTGACCACGAAAGTAGATGAGGGCAGTGCAGTAGATGTTGTCTAAATGGACTTGAGCAAGTCCTTTGACAAGGTACTGCATGGCAGGTTGTTGAGTAAGGTTATATCTCACATGATCCAGGAGATCTAGCCAATTGGATACAAAATTGGCTTGAAGGCAGAAGTCTGAGGGTGATGGTAAATGGTTGTTTTTCAGACTGGAGTTCTATGACCAGCAGTGTGCCACAGGGTTCGGTGCTGGATCCACTTTTATTCATCATTTATACTAATAATTTGGATGAGAATTTAGGAGGTATGGTTACTAAGTTTGTGGATGACACCAAGATTGGTGGTATAGTGAACAGTGAAGGAGGTTATCTGGGAATGCAGTGAAATCTTGATCAACTCGTCCAGTGGGCTGAGGAATGGCAGATGGAGTTCAATTTAGATAAATGCGAGGTGTTGCATTTTGGTAAGTCAAACCAGGGCAGGTCATACACAGTCAACAGTAGGGCCCTGGGGAGTATTATAGAATAGAGAGATTTGGGAATACAGGTTCATAGCTCTTTGAAAATGGAGTCACAGGTAGGCAGGATGGTGAAGAAAGCTTTCAGTATGCTTACTTTCATCAGTCAGACCAGAGTGTAGGAGTTGGGACGTCTTGTTGCAGCTGTACAAGACAATGGTGAGGCCACATTCGGAGTACTGTGTGCAGTTCTGGTCACCCTACTATAGAAAGAATATTATTAAACTAGAAAGAGTGCAGAAAAGATTCACCAGGATGCTACCTGGACTGGAAGGTTTGAATCATAAGGAGAGGTTGGATAACTGGGACCACCACCACCAACCCCCCCACCCCTGGAGCATAGGAGACTGAGAGGTGACTTTACAGAAGTCTATACAATAATGAGAGGAATAGATAAGGTAGATAGCTGATGGTAGGGGAGTCTAAAGCTAGAGGGCATAGGTTTAAGGGGAGAGGGGAACAGATACAAAAGGGTCCAGAGGGACAAGTTTAATTCATACAGAAGGTGGTGAGTGTGTCTGGAATAGGCTGCTAGATTTGGGGGTGGAAGTGAATACAATTTCGTCATTTAAGAAACATTTAGACAGGTACATGCATGGGATAGGTACGGAGGGATACGGACCAAATGCAGGCAAATGGGATTAGTTTAAATTGTGAACAGGGTACAGCATGGGCAAGTTGAGCCAAAAGGCCTGTTTCCATGCTGTAGACCTCTATGACTCATTAAATAGAGATCCAAACATTTGTGCTTGGTTCCACTAATACCCCAACCATTGCCTCTCAAACCTGAAAACATGGTCACATGTAGCAAAGGAAAATGGTTGGTTAAAAATTGCATTTTCTGACAAAGTACATTACCATGCAGATTTGGAGAGCTGTACATTTTTATTATCTTTGCAGTTGTATTTGAGGGAATGGGTGCTACTACATCATCAGGGCTTATTGTGTCAGACAAAGGGAAATCAACCAGCATCACCATCTCCTTATGGTTACCCAGTCACCCCCTTAGAAAACTCAGAAGAGCAGATGAAAGCAGCTGTAATATCCCCTTGTCATCAACCATCCTGCCAACAACCGCTGTGAAGTCCCAGTGGCCACGTGGATGAAGCACCCGAAGTTCAGCCCCAGTTACAGCTGGCTGTATCCTTGTAGGTTTCATTACGTGCTGCATTGTCCCCATCACATTCAATAGTCACCCAATATCCTCTACAACACATCCTTCCAGTAGGAAGTCAATAAACTGCTTACAGAACTGAATGACAACGTTTTGTCAAATAAGACAACTTTGATACGTTTTTACAATTAACAAGCAAAAGTGCACTAAGAAAATAGACAGACGCAACATCTTTCCAAAACTGTTTCAGAGATAGTAGGAATTGCAGATGCTGGAGAATTTGAGATAACAAGGTGTAGAGTTGGATGAACACAGCAGGCCAAGCAGCATCAGAGGAGCAGGAAGGCTGACGTTTCCGGCCTAGACCCTTCTTTAGAGCCAAAAGGCCTGTTTCCATGCTGTAAACCTCTATGACTCTAAATAGAGATCCAAACATTTGTGCTTGGTTCCACCAATACTCCAACCATTGCCTCTCAAACCTTTTTCTGAAGAAGGGTCTAGGCCCGAAACGTCAGCCTTCCTGCTCCTCTGATGCTGCTTGGCCTGCTGTGTTCATCCAGCTCTACACCTCGTTATCTCTATCTTTCCAAAACTGCCTCGATTATTATTTGCTCCGGCAACCTAGAATTTTAATTCCTGGAGGAGATGTATAGGACAAACCTGGAGGTTTGGCACTTCTAGGGGTCTCAGAATCAGTTCGGGCAAGGCTTTGATTATAATCAAACTTGTCTGAGATTAAACATTTTCCGAAAGGAATCTGTGAAACGAAAATGGATGAACACAGCAGGCCAAGCAGCATCATCAGAAAGGGTCTAGGCCGGAAACGTCAGCCTTACTGCTCCTATGATGCTACTTACGCTGCTGTGTTCATCCAGCTCTGCACCATGTTGTCTCAGATTTTCCAGCATCTGCAGTTCCTACTATCTCTGATACTATCTGTGAAGCGAAAATCCCGGTTTTCCCACCACACTCACTCCGTCCCTGTTTGTTTTTAAACAGTACGTGATGGGGCACAGTAGCGAACTACAAGTGAACAGATAACGGTAACTTGCTACGCTCGAATAACACTGTCCGATGTGATAACGCATCTCAGCCCTTGTGGAGCCCACCAGTCTCTAACGGCCCGTACGGTGCCCGTAGGCGACACATGCACCCTCTCCAGGGACACACGAGTCCGTACGTAAACGCGTAAGAAAGGCAGTTAGTCAGGAACAACGCCCACCTCCGCGGCCCGCAGCCTTGACCTGTTCATGGCCACTTTAGTCAGGCCCAGCTGCCGGTCCATTGACCAGCCGGCCCCTCCCCGCACGAGGTTTCCGTTGATCAGGATGGTGGGGCTGAACCAAACTCTTCAAAGAAAAAACAAAACAAGTGCTAGAAACGAACATGCTCAATTTATATGTGATATATTGTCTCGTCACTGCTTCTCTACCTGTGGTTGCCGCTCATGGGGTCACAGCTTCAGCTACAGAGCCACAGATTCCCGAGGCCCCAAACCCACGCAGCTTCGGTCGCATGCTGATGACGTCACCCAACCGCACGCAACCTTTCCAATTACGGAATTTAACCTAGAAACATACAGTTTAAGAAGATAAATGAAAATAAATGGCGCGATTCGCTGCCGCGGACGAAAAAATTTAAATGGGAAGAAGCGCCGGCGAATTGGGGGGCGGGGCGGGGCGGGGCGGGGCGGGGCTTACTAACGTCAAGGACTTCCGGTGGTCGTGAGTAGAAACACGTCTACATCCGGTGCGGCTCCAGAGCAACGGAAACAGCACGAGAGAGCGAAAAAGCCGGCACTCACTGTAACTCGGGGCAACAGGCAGAAGAGAAAGACGAGGTAACTAGGGGCAACGGGGGGGGGGAAGAGAGAAGAAGAGGGAAGAGGAGGAGGTAGAGGTAGTAACCTGGGGCAACTGGAGCGGAGGAAAGAGAGAGAGAGAGAAAGAAGAAAGAAAGAAAGAAAGAAGAGGAAGAAGTGAAGATAACATCGAGGGAGGAGGACGAGGAGGAGGCGGCGAAGTTGGGAGTGGGAGGGGGAGTGGGAGGGGGAGGGGGGGAGTGAAGGAGAGAAGGGCGGGCGAGGCAGCGGGGGTGCAAGAGAAGGTAACCGGAGGCGAGGGGTGTGTGGGTGAGAGAGGAACCTGCACCTACGGTAAATGAGGGGGAGGGCTCACGGGCGCGCACACAAACACACACCGGGCATTGAAAGGTCGAGAAACCACTAAGTTACCCCGGTAGAGAGGCTGATAGCGCGGGCAGCAAAATGTTATGCCCTGTTCCCTGGGCTGCGGCTAATGCTGCTGATGCCACAGGGCAGCCTCTGTCGTGTTGCGATAGAGACCAGGGACAGAGCTCCAGCAGGCATCGGGACTTTGACTCGCTTATCCCCGATTGCGATTAATAATTGACCGCAACTGGTTCAGCATTCTGGAGACTCCGAAGTGTTTTTGGGGAGTAAGGGAATGGTTGATTGAATGATCATTGTTTCCTTCAGGTTCCCACCGACGGATTTTTTTTTTATATCTTCGCGATGGAGTCCTTTTGAGAATCTGTAGTACAGCTCGAAGTTTTACTGTTATGGGGGAATGGAATGACTGGTTCTGGTTTTACAGGCGAAATAACAGAATGCCTTTCATTACGTAAATGAATTCAGTTTGGTCTGGCATCATGTTAAGTTTCACGGTAGGTTAGAACCGTGTGAGTTGTCGGGTCAAGTACAAAGTTTTTCCCCAGTTGAGGAGTCCGATTCGTAGAGACACACTTCAACTTACAATATAAGAATTTTGTCACTGTCGTTAAGATTAATTTAACGTGCGATCTTGGAATAATTGCTAAAAACCCAAGTTTTGTAGGTAATTGGTTGATTTAAGCTTTATATTCTAAATTCATACATGTGCTATAATCTCGTTAAGCAAAGTTATCCCCTTTTCTTACAGTCGCTGTTAACTATAAGGACTTTTTGCTTTGTAAAAGGCCACTTTTTTGAGTATAATATTTGAATGAAGGAATATTTATGGTGGTGCCCACTTACCCTTGTAATGTTGGCTTTTAAAATGGTGCAGCATGTAACAGTTGCAATCTATCTGGTCTAGATTTGCTTTGAATGTTGTATAGTTGAAAATTTTGTGTGTGAATTAAAATTATAGAATAATTCTAGTTAATTTCTAGTATACAATGTTCCAAAGGTGGCTGAACTGAAGTTCTGTACAGCTGCAACATGACTTGCCAATTTTTATACGGTATCCCCTGACTAATGAAGGCAAGCATGCCATATGCCTTCTTGACCACCTTATCCACTTTCAAGGAGCTGTGGACCTTCATGTCTCGATTTCCCCCTCTATGTTGATGCGACTAAGGGTTCTACCATTTACTGTATACTTCCCCCTGCATTAAATTTTCCAAAATGCATCACCTTGCATTTGTCTAGATTAAACTCCATCTGCCATTTTTCTGCCCAAGTCTTCAGCCTGTCTATATCCTGCTGTATCCTCTGGCAATCCTTTTCACTATCCACAGCTCCCCTCAATCTTTTTGCCATCTGCAAACTAACTAGTAAATGACAAAAACCAGGAGCCCCAGCACTGATGCCTGTGGAACACCACTGGCCACAGATCTCCAAAGAAAAACACCCATCCACTGCTAATCTCTTTTTTGTGCCTAAGCCAGTTCTGTATCGATCTTACCAGTTCACCACAGATCCCATATAACTTTATCTTTTATATCAGCCTGCCACGAGGGACTTTGTTAAAGGCCTTGCTAAAGTCCATATAGGCAACATCTACAGTCTTGACCTCATCCATCATTTTTGTCATTTTCTCAAAAAACTCCATCAGCTTTGTGAGACACGACCTTCCCCACAAAGCAATAAGTCCATTTTTTCCAAATGTGAGTAAATCCTATCCCTAAGAATCGTATTCTGTAATTTCCCTACCACTGACCTCAGGCTCACCAGCCAGTAAATTCCCGGATTATGCCTGTTGCCCTTCTTAAACAAAGGAACAATGACGGCTATCCTCCAATCCTTTGAGAACTCTCCTATGACTAAAGAGGATACAACGATTTTGTATAAGGCCCCAGCAATTTCCTCATCTGTCTCCTTCAGAATTCTAGGATCAATCATATCAGGTTCTGGGGACTTGTCTACCTTAATGCTTTTCAAAGCACCCAACACCACTTTTGTTTTTAGATTGACGCCCTAGCATATCAACATATCCCTCCAGAGACTCCCCATCCATCATGTCCTGCTCCTTTTTGAATATGGATACAAAGTATTTGTTAAGGATCTCACCCATTTTGTCTGGCTCCACACATAAATTCCCTGAGTCGATCTACCCTTTCCCGAGCTACCCTCTTTTTCCTTATGTATAAAACACTTTGGGATTTTCCTTAGTCCTGTTTGCCCAGGATATATGGCCCCTTTTAGCTCTAAATTCCTTCTTTGAGTTCTTTCCTGCTTTCATTGTATTCTTCAACGGCTCTGTCTTTCTTTAGTTTCCTTCGAACACTTGCAACTTAGAGGCTGTTTGGTACATCATGTCTGCACTGACCGAATAAACTAATTCCACATTGCAGGACCTGGGCAGTAGCTTTTGAGGTTGTAGCACTTCTCGTGCAGATCTAGGTCCCTTTCAAATGGGCTGAGGATTTCTGCCTCAACCATCAAAGTGGGGCAGCAAATTTCAGACACCCACCATCTGTTTTTCCTGATGTTCCCTCTAATCATCTATCAAACACTTTAAGTCTGTGCCTGAAGGTAATTGATCTCTCCGCTCAGGGGAATTAGACTTCCCCTGACCGCTCTATCAAATCACCTTGTTTTGTATACTTTTATTAAACCATCCCTCTGTCTCCTCTTCTAAGGAAAACAATCCAAGCCTTAACTGATCTTTTCTCGTAGCTACAATTTTGATCCCTTGCAACATTCTTGTATGTCCTCTCTGTACTCTCTCCAGACTAATTATGTTCATTTTGTAATGTGATGACCGGAACTATGTACAAAACGCTAGCTGCGGCCTAACCAGCGCCTTGTAAAGTTCCAGCATTGCACATCTGCTTTTGTATTCAGTACCTTGCCCAGTGAAGGAAATCATTTTACGTGACTTTTTTACCACCTCATCTCCTTGTGGATATGCGCTCCACAGTCTCAAACATCTTCTACTCTTTTCAATGCTGTCCTGTTTATCATGTATTCCCTTGCTTTTTTGGCCTACCCAAAATTATAACCTCATTTTCGGATAGAATTCCATTTGCTACTTATCCACCCACTCAACCAAACTATTTATATTGGCCTGCAGTTGGCAGTCATCCTTTTCGCTTAACTACATGGCCAATTTTGAGGTCTGCAAATTTCCCATTCATACCTCTCACACTTGTGCCTAAATCATTAACGTTATTAGTATGCACCAGAAGCAGCAAGTGGCCCAATGCTGAGTCCTGTGGAACACTACTGAAATCAATCAACATTAGCAAAATTATCTGTTAAACCTTGCCCTTTGCTTCTTGTCACTGAGCCACATTCCTCTTTATCTAGTGAGTTGTAATGTTACTGACCAGTCTGCCATGTGGGTCTTTTGACAAATGTCTTGCTAAAGTTCATGCAGGTAACATCCACTGCACTAGTCTCATCAATTTGTCTTTTTTTAAATTTCAAAAGTATACTTTTTTACAAAAAATATCTTTATCTATACATTGTCACAAATGCAGTTCGGTTGTGTACAATAGCGTATCAAATAAACATTGCAGAGATAGTAAGAACTGCAGATGCTGGAGTCAGATAATTAGTGTGGAGCTGGAGGAGCACAGCAGGCCAGGCAGCGTCAGAGTAGCAGGAATGTTGACGTTTTGGTTTGGGACCCTTCTTCAGAAATCAAAATCAAACATTGCAGTTTGACTCTATACAAACAAACCCAAGTTGTCTCTTAGATATGCAAGACTTTATTTACATGCATTTGAGGCAATAGGAGGGTCCAATAACAGAATGGACCCCTAATTAACTTCAGCAGGAAGACTTCAGACAATAGTCTTTCCCCCCTGTACCTCAGCTGCCTCAAGCTTTAGTGTGTCCCTCAGCAAGTAGTCCTGGACCTTGGAATGTGTCAGTCTGCAACACTTGGTCGAGGTCAACTCCTTTTTCTGGAAGACCAATATGATTTGGATAGACCAAAGATTGTCTTTCACCAAATTGATGGTCTTCCAGACGCAGTAGATGTTTGTCTTGGTACGTGTCCCAGGGAACAGACCGTAGAGCACAGAATACCGTGTCATGAAATGCTTGGGATGAATCTTGACAAAAACCACTGCATCTTTCTCCAGACTTCCTTTGCAAAGGCACATTCCAGAAGGAGATGTGTGACAGTCTGCTCAGGGAAACCACATGACAGGATCCACCCTCTCCTTTCCCTGAAGGGTCTTGAGGGCACTACATGCTGACCACTTCCTGATGGACTTGTGGTCAAAAGTGTTTCTCTTTGTAAATTTCTCCATGAAGAACAGGTGATACAGAACGGTCGAACTACTTGGAACATTCCACGGCAGCGAGGCCAGAGCCATCCTTCACAACACCGGGGACAGGTAGAACCTCAGTACATAGTGACATGTCTTGTTATCGACAAAACAATTAATCAATTTAGTAAGGCATCATCTCCCCTTAAAACCATGCT